GGTACCGAGGGAGACTCCAGCCTCGCGCCCCCAGAGAGCCCCTCTCTCTCTCCCTCCTTCCTTCTTGAGTGGGCTGGCGGGGACCGGGACCTACCGCATGGCCCCGGGGTCCCCGCCAGCTGTAGGCGCCTGGGAGAGACAATTTCTGATTGTGGGACCTGCGGCAGAGCCCTTCAGAAAGCAAGTCCCCAGCCAGCAGGGGATCTCATCTCCCATCCCTAATGTACGCGCAGCCCTGAGTTTTAATTTGCTTGGTCTTGCTAGTCGTGGACGTTTTCCTACAAAAGAGTGGTTTTATTCCACTCCATACTCAACCCCGCAGAGGTTGAGGGAGCGCCTAGATGTGCTTTCTAAACTACTGTTCTACTTGTTTTACCCCCGAATATTGTATATTGATGATAAGGATTTATTTTTTAATTTTAATGTTGGCTCAATTTTGGTGATTAGAGTGTGTAAACGAATATGGAAATGTGGAATGGGACTTTGGGGCATTAGGAAGCATGAGCTGTAATTTTTTAAAAAGAATTTAAATACCCAAATAAAAATAATTTACATACATTATTGACCCTTCCCCCCACCCCCGCAAAAGAATACCTTTTTTGGCCTTATTCTTTCCCTGCCCTGGTCTGTACCTTTGTTACCCAGCTTTGCTTATATAGTATTGAATATTTATTATGTTAAGTGTATAGTCTCAATTGTACTTGATGACCCCAGTGTGGAACCTTCGCATATATATCCAGAATTTCTGCTCTTAAAAAAAAAAAATCTTGCAGTTACCATCACTAAGCATAGAGTTTTGTCCTTGTTTCCTTGGGGTAAATTCCAAGAGTTGGAAATACTACATCAAAGTTTTGTATTCCTTCTTTAGCATTTGATAAGAAGTATCTTCTAAACAAGGCATGTTTGCAATAGTCATTTTTCAAAATTTGGGTATTTGTCCATTTCTGCTCACTGTAGGTGGAATTCAGCAGGGATGTACAACTAGTGTTGTATACTACCGGTTCCTAGAAATTAAGCCGAGACCAGATTCTGTCTGCTGCTGAGATGCCAAGCAACCTTCATTAAGTTTGTTCATCTGTAAACTTCCCCCATTTCTAAATTGGGCTTAATTCTCCTACCTGCTTCAATGGGTTGTCATAAAAGTTTAGATCAAGTGTTAGAATAGACACTTCAAATGATGACAGAATCCATGAAGTTCCTAATAGTCCATAGTCAGGATTGTGTAAGGCCTGCAGGGAAGCATTTCTACTCTAGCTTCTCAAAGAAACAAAAAACAAACAAACAAAACAGGCTATAGGAAGGGAATTTTCTTAAAGACTTTATTGCAGATAATTTAAACATGGTCCCCACTTATAAGGTAAAGGAGCTAAGAAGATTAAAGACTGTACTGAAAGAGCATATATCCCAACCTAGTGTAACATTTGACACACATATGTTCTAGAAATTGTGGAGGTCAGCGATGTGTAAGCTGGTTGTACAGAATTCAGTGTAATGAGGGTTTCTGTGCCATTCTGAATGAAGAGCCATTGTGGAAGAGAGGATGATCACATGAAGACCTGCTTTCTACTGTGCATTTGTCCCCAGATGTCCCTAGATACCTCTCTGAATGGAAATTTTCCACTCAGAATGATTATTTTTTCCTTTTTCTTTTAAATCCCTGGCTAGTCCTTCAGTCCTAGGCTTCCCAGCCCAATAGTAGCCCCCCATTCCAGCTAAGTTGCCCTAGAATAAGGTCCCCCTGGGGTAGCCTGTAGCAACCACACTGTCCTGGGTAGGAGGGGAGAGGTGCGATGGCTCCAGGTTATTCGTTCCGAACTCTGATAAGGAGCAGGGGCCCCAAATGTCTCAGCTTTGCCAGGCAGAGTGGGCTATAGGTGGCTAGAGAGTGGCAGGTCCCTCCAGCTTGAAGCTGCCATTGTTAGTCCTACCCAGTCCTGTCCCTATAAGGGATAGAAGATATCCCACAATGGCATAGGGATTATTTTGATCTGAGGACATTTGAGAAATAGTAAATAAAGGAGGAGAACTTTTTCTCAATTCTCCTTATCTGCATAAAAGCAAAACTTCACAAAAGAATTCACATGTCATAAATGTCTTTCCTAGAGTTTGGGAGTTCCAACCAGGGAGGTTGACTTCTATCTTGAGGCTACAGAAGAAATCTCACCAAGATAAGAAGTCATACTAATTGTCACAAAACTATATCCTATCCCCGTCCGTTCTCTAGAGGGACTGCTTATCTTTCCTAAAAGTCATTTCTTTTAAGAGTTCTTTGTCGTCTTCCCCTTCCCCTGCTAAGATGGGATATAAGCCCTAAATTTTAACCACTTTTTAATGCCACATTTTCTGAGTTTCTCTCTCTCCTTTTTAAAAATTTGTTTAGTTGTTGATAGAACTTTATTTACTTATATGTGGTGCTGAGAATCGAACCCATGCTAGGCAAGCACTCTTCCACTGAGCTACAACCCCAGCCCTGAGTTCCTGCTTTTTAACACAGGAACTGAGGCCTCAGACATTTTTTAATGTCTAGAAATCAGTTCGGATAGTGCATCATTTTTTAGCTCAGAGTCTGAAAATTGATGCCTATCAAATTTAGTAATAGATGTAGGTATATACATACACATACACATACACGTATAAAATAAATATGATAAACAGCAAAGAAAGGGAAGAAAAGCCAAATTTCCCAAGAATTTAGTTGTGGAACACACATACTTTCATCTAGACTTTTAATATCTCTGCCTTGATTTTTGCTTCCTCAGGATGGTGTCACAAAACTCTTATGTGCTCCAGAAAGAGGAGTGGCAAGGAAATGCCATTGCTTCCCAAATCAGGGAGAGTGTATATGCTATGAGAAACAGAGAGTGTGGCTGTGGCTGGCCTTTATCAGGTGCCCTTGCTTCCTCTTCTGCAGGGACCTTCATGGTCCCCAGTAGATCTGGGCATGAGGGCACCAAGTCTTGGTAGCATGTGCCACTCTCCTCTTCCCAGGGCTGTACTGTGCCAGGGTGCTAGTGGCCCACTGTGAGACCTTGGGCTTTGGCCATGGGCAGAAGAGGAGGCTATCTCATGGTCTTGAGCAGAGGCCTATGCCGTCTAACTTCACTTGAAGGGCAGGTTTCTCTGCATGGAGCATGGACTTCAGGGATATTCCAGGAGGGTCAGGCCATTATAATCTAATGGGGTGACATCACCCAGATGTAGGGGCAGTTGTGAGATGCAAAAACCATCTGGAAAAGAAGAGAGCTCTAAGAAGTTCTGTCCTGAATTACCCAGAGGAAGAGTGTTGCCAGTAATTGAGCTGGCACAGGTTTTCTGGTGAAGTAGGTTTTTATTTTTGGGAAAAAGAACAGTTTCTTTTAGGGTAGGTTAAGTCCTGAGATGCCTTGATACACATTCCAGTGGAACCATCAAGCACCTGTGGGACTTTCAGATCTGAGTTCAGAGGTGCATGGCTGGAGGTAGGAATGTGAGAGTCACCAACATTTACAAAGCCATGAAATCGGATGAGAAGCTCAAGGGATGAGGGGAGACAGGAAAAGATAAATGAAAGTCTTAGGTGGAGGTCAGGCAAAGGGAAACCAGCAGAAGAAACAAGGAAGGCATGGGGAGACCAGAGAGGGGTGTCCTGGAAGTGATTGCATTAAGCATCTGAAGGGACAGGGGTGAGCAGCTGCAGCAGATACTGCTGAGGGGCCCAGAAATAGGACTGAGTGTTGACTGGTGCATTTAACCACTTAGAGGCCATCGATCTTGGTGAGAATGTTACAGTTAAAGCTTCGACCCGGGGTTTCATAAACTGACTTCCAGACTACTCACCTATAATCGAATCAAGCCTTTATTGAAGCACAGTGGTGGCGACTGACCAGAACATAAAGCTGTTCCCCCGATCAGCCCCGAACAATTGCAAGGGCGCTCCTTATAAGCCTGAAAACCGCAAAAGGGATGTTCGGGGGTCTAGCCAATGCAAGCAAGCCAGGTTACAGAAGCGGGATAGTGCAGTCAAGCGGTGGGAAACCTAACCAATCCCAGTTAGCCCAATCACCCCATTTACAGAAACAGAGCCCCATTACCCTAGTTACAGAAACAATGCCCCGTTAGGTAGTTCTGTGTTCTTAAAGGTTTCTATAGCAAAAGGAAAAGAACATCTTGCCCCAGTCATGACCCTTCTACTTGGCATGGTTGTTTTACAGGATGAAGTCATAAAAGAAAATGGAGTCACATTTGCTTCTATTATCACAAGAAGAGTTTTGGGGACCAAAGCTTCTTTGGAATGTGTTTGGGAGAGAATGAGAATGTCTGAGTCAGAGACAGTGAGGGTAGACACCTATCCTGAGATGTACTGCAAAGGGGAGCAAAGAGATGGGGCTTCAGAGAAGGTGGTTATGGATCGTAGTTTTTAATGGAAGAAGGATCTGAATATTTACAAGCTGATGAGTATGAGCCAGGGGAGTGTGACAGATGATAGTGCAAGCAGGGAGGGAGGGTTGTTGGAGCAAGATCTTCCAGGCAGCAGGAGTGGGTGGGGAGTAGTGTGTAAGAGATTTTTGAGAAATCTCTGAGACCAGTACTATGTCAGAAGACAGCTTCCATGGGAGCCTACCACCAGGAGCATCTGCACCCTGCATTCGGCCTGTGTTATGCCATTAGTCAGAGAGGAACTTTGCACACCAGAAATACTCCAAAATTGACTCTAATCCCCATTGCCTCTTTCCTGCTGAACAACACTGGTCTCCAGGGGAAAAAGAAACTAGAGTCATCAATTCAGAGGAAATGTGGGGAGGGCTCATGGAGATATGAGAAGAGAAGACATCACTGGTTTCTGCAACTTGCACCTTAGTCTTGGAACATGGAGACAATAATGTTATTATTTTGGTGTTGGGGATGGAACCCAGGGCCTCAAGCATGTTAAGCATGCTCTACTAGTGAGCTACATCCCCAGGTCAGGAAGGAAATCTTTAGTCTCACACCCCTCAATGGGATTTTCTGTGCCTGGGTTACAGGGATGTGAACACCTGCTTCGTGGAGCTCCTGATTATGGTGTACACATGGAAGACCTCTCGTGCCAAGAGCATCATCGGCGTGATTCCCTGCTTTCCTTACAGCAAATGGTGCAAACTGAGGAAGAGGCTCAATCATCTCTAAATTATTTGATTCCATGATATGCAAAGCTGGTAAGAAAGGCAGATCATTGACAACTAATTGGGAGCTTGGGAGTTTTATTTTTACAGAAAAAATTTCAAAGCATTCTCTTAAGCAAATGAGAATGCTGAACAGAGGAAAAATAGTGCAGTCCATCCTTCTCCACAAGAGAGATGTGCATGACCCCCAGTGATACCTGAAACAGTGAGTGCTACTAAACTCAGTAGGCGCACTGCAGTACTGGGACAGCAGATCTCACAACTGAGATGGCTACTAAGTGACTTCAGGTGGATAACATAGATAGCATAGATACGCTGGATAATGGTATGATGTACCTCCTTAGAAGGACAAAACAGGATATCATGAGATTTCATAGTGCTACTCAGAATGATGTGCAGTTTAAAATTTATTAATTGTTTATTTTTGGAATTTTCCATATAATCTTTTTGAACCATGGGTAACTAAAATCACACAAAGCAAAGCCACAGGTAAGGGGTAGAATTGGGGAATTAGAATATTGAGAAATTCTGCAGAGAATTTTGTATCCAACTCCCTCAACATGTGGGTAATGAGAATGACTTTTGTTTTTATTTTTTCCTAAACACTTTTTTCAAATTTATATTGAAATGACGGTATACAATCCCATCAAAGTTGTTTTGAAAGATAACAGTCATTCTGAACCCTCCTATTTCTCTAACACAGCAACTTTTTGTATTTTAGCCTCTTCTATTTCCAGGATAGAGAGACATATTTTGTAACTATATGTATTGTTTTGTGTTATGCTTTCTCAGGTAGCATCCTCAGTATGTTCCCTTGTTTCTAAATGTGCTACATAGTTTTCATGGTGAATGAGTGTTTGCTCATATATGTCTGTATGTGCATGCTTATAATGTACATATCACAGAGCATTTGCACAAAGAGAAGGAGGTTAAAAATCTCCATATCACTGCATTTAAAACAAACACGTTAGAATTCATTTTCCAGTGTACTAGACCAAAGAAGACAAAAGTAAAACCCCAGGGACCTCAGCAGCATCTCTCCTTGACAACACTGTGACAGGCACTGAAAAGGGGGGCGGGGGCTCCCCACTGAGTCTTTTGGAAAATTTCCATCCTTCTTTTCCAACGTTCCACAGGCTTACTTTTTTGGGTAAGGATTGCTTTATGAATTTTTTCTATCAAATTTTCCCTACACTTGCTAATGGTCATTTCAGATATTCTTTAAAGATGTAGTGAAGGTTTTTAATTTGCTTCATTTCCAACTTGATACAGTTTCTCTGTTGGCTTTGTTATTAAGGAAACTTCAAGGAGATAGAATCCACTCTAATAGAATTTTTAAGAGACATTTCTATGTTACTGTCATCTTTGTTTATTTTAAACTTTGTTAATTAAAAAATATGCATTTCATAGTGCCAAGGAATCTGAACCATAAAAGTGCTAGGGTTTTTTAATAGGAAAGTAATTTTTTCATAGTAACTTATTACATGAATATTTTCATTTACTTTGTACTAATTTCCTGTGGTGCATCTTGTTTTACAGCTATTTATGTGCTTATCTCTGCTTAATTTTGAAGGTCTAACACTCCTCATTAGTATGGATTTACACTAGAAGGAAATTCCAAGTTTCTTCAATATTCCATGAATAATTTAAGAGCATCTCCCTTACTATTACTGTATATTCAAGAAGAGGTTAGGCAGCTTGAACTTTTTAAAATTTTAATATTCTGGTGAAGGTATAGTTCCATTTCTTTGAGATGTCCCTAAAGAATTAAAATTTGATGTATCCTGCTTAATGATCTGTTGTGTTTTATAAATGCAATTCTGTATATTTTAAATGTCTTAATCAGTAATTCATCTTTTTTTTTTTTGAGAGAGAGAGAATCTTTTTTAAAAAAATTTTTTGTAGATGGACACAACACAATGCCTTTATTTTTATGTGGTGCTGAGAATCGAACCCATGACCCACCTGTGCTAGGTAAGTGCTCTACTGCTGAGCCACAATCCCAGCCCAGTAATTCATCTTTTTTAATCATCTCTTAAAATTGCTTTTTATTTTGAACCTCAAGTATGCAGAATTGGACTAGTCATTGATGATAACAAAAAGTTTGTCTTATCATTGGTTCATGTGTGGTCTTGGCCCTTTCTAATATCTGCATCTCTCTATTCTGTCTCTGTTCATCCCTCTATGGTTGTTGACACCCATCATCCTAAATCTGTCACCTGACAAGAAAATAAGAATCAGCTAAGTGCAGTGGCACCCATCTGTAATCCCAGGACTTGGGAGTCTGAGGCAGGTGGATTGCAAATTCAACTCATCTAGACCCTGTCTCAAAATTTTTAAAAAGGGATGGGGGTATAGCTTGGTGGTAAAGCATCCCTGGGTTAAATCCTCAGTACACACACAAAAAAAGAGTAAGAGAACCATCCCATCCACTGCCTTCTCCCACCCAGGAACCACTGTCCTGAATCTGCTGACATTTTTCCTTTAATTTCCTTTTTAGATAGTTTCAGAGCACATATTTAATGGTAAATTATATATATATATATATATATATGTGTGTGTGTGTGTGTGTGTGTGTGTGTGTGTATGTGTATGAATGTCACATTCCTTACTACTAAAACACTCAGGGTCACTCCAGGTGAACTAGGTTGCACAAAATAACTATACAAGAGACAGAGATACCTTTATCTTTGGGGTCCTGTGACGGCTCCTCTGACCTTAAGGATCCACAGAAAGAGAATGAGCAAGTGCTGAACCCTTTTATTGAAGAGAACCATTCAAATGAGGCAAAGGGTCAGGTTTCATGGGGTGGAATCTAGCTTTGTGATGTCTGCTGTCAGCAGGTTGACTGACATCTAGGAAGTCCACACCCAAAGACAGAGCAAGAGAAGGGGACACACAAAGGGCTTTTCCATAGAACATTCTATCCCAAACTGGGATAGAAAACACACACACACACACACACACACACACGCTAAGAAAAAAACCGTAATATTTTGAGTGTTTCACTTGGTGTTATGTAGTAAGTATGTACACAACTGGAACTCATCCCTGTTGTTGTACGTGCAGTTATCCATTTGACTACTGAGAAGTGCTCTTTGTGTAGCTGTATCTCAGCTTCTTCATCATGCATTCATATGAATTGTTTGTCGGCTTTCCCTATCATAATAGCTCTTCTGTGAACACATTCATTGTATCTCCAGTGGTACACAAGCCAGTATATATCTTAGAGAAATTGCAAAATTGCATGGTGTGTGGATGTTTAATTTTTCCAGAGCGGTTAGATCAATTTATATTCCCACTAATAATGAGATTGATACCCTGGGTCAATGCTTATGCTACCAAATTTTAAAATTCTGGTCAGTTGAATGCCTGTGATATGGTATCCTGCCACTTTGATGGATTGCCGCAGCCTGGCTGAAGCAAAATAACCGGAGGGTGTCGAGGAACTTGTGTAGATTGATAGAGCAAGAGTGGGAGCCATTTATTGTACGACAGGAAGGGTATATATACATTCCACACAGCTTATCTTAATTAACATAAACTAGATACAGCAGTCAACCAATAAGGAATCTCCACACTTAATGGCTCGCTGGCATTACTTCACAAACCACTCCCTCTGGGAAAATGCCAGGCGCCATCTTGACTTGTTTACAGACCCTAACAATGGATGGATCTGATGACTAGTGAGGTTGAACATATCTTCAAATATTCTTCCTTTTCATTGAAAATGTGTTGTGTCCTTTCTGTCTGTTCTATAGTGATTTCATTTGTGTGGTTCTTACTGAGCTGATTTGTTGGTATTTGTTTCACTTAGATTTGTCAGTTTGTAACTTATCCATCTTTTAGTTGTGTTTGGGGAATGTTGGAAGCAAACGTATTAAGTGTTTGTCTCACAAAGTGAAATTCACACAACATAAAATCAACCATTTAAACATAAAAATTCAGTAGCATTTAGTTCATTCACAATGTTGACCAGCCACTATCTGTGTCTAGTCCCACAACTTCTTCATCACCCCAGAACACCCTGAACCCATTAAGTAATGACTCTGCATTCCTCCCACCCCTCTGCCTGCATTGCCTGGCAATCACTAATCTGCTTCCTGTCTCCAGGGATTAGCCTGTTTTAGAGATTTTATATAAATGAAATTATAGAATTTATTCTTTTTTTGTGTCCAAATACATTTTTTTATTAGTTGTTCAAAACATTACATAGCTCTTGGTATATCATATTTCATACATTTGATTCAAGAGGGTTATGAACTCCCATTTTTCCCCTGTATACAGATTGCAGAATCACATTGGTTACACATCCACGTTTTTACATACTAAAAACATCTGTTGTATTCTGTTGCCTTTCCTATTCTCTACTATCCCCCCACCCCTCCACTCCCCTCCCATCTTCTCTCTCTACCCCATCTACTGTACTTCATTTCTCTCCCTTGTTTTTTCCCCCTTTCCCTTTTATATGTAATTCTGTATAACGATGAGGGTCTCCTTCCATTTCCATGCAATTTCCCTTCTCTCTCCTTTTCCCTCCCATCTCTCGTCCCTGTTTAATGTTAATCTTCTTCTCATGCTTTTCCTCCCTGCTCTGTTCTTAGTTGCTCTCCTTATAGCAAAGATGACATTTGGCATTTGTTTTTTAGGGATTGGCTAGCTTCACTTAGCATAATCTGCTCTAGTGCCATCCATTTCCCTGAAAATGCCATGATTTTGTCATTTTTTAGTGCTGAGTAGTACTCCATTGTGTATAAATGCCACATTTTTTTATCCATTCATCTATTGAAGGGCATCTAGATTGGTTCCACAGTCTAGCTATTGTGAATTGTGCTGCTATGAACATCGATGTGGCAGTTTCCCTATAGTACGCTCTTTTAAGGTCTTCAGGGAATAGTCCAAGAAGGGCAATAGCTTGGTCAAATGGTGGTTCCATTCCCAGCTTTCCCAGGAATCTCCGTACTGCTTTCCAAATTGGCCGCACCAATTTGCAGTCTCACCAGCAATGCACAAGTGTACCCTTTTCCCCACAT